CTTTCAATTTTTATTTCCTTTTTTCAATTGTTTAATTGTGTTTTTTTATTGTAATTTCATTTCAGGTTTTTTTGACTAATATAATTATTATTCTCAGCTATTCATTTCAATTGTATTAGTTCTTTCGGGGATTTCAAATCAATTTATTTCATATTTAGACAATGGAAATCTGTACTAATGAAAAATTCATGAATGAAAGTGATTACTTTGAATGAGTTTTATAGATTGAAGAGAATATAATTGCTGATAGGCCGTGACCAAATGGAACTTGTCTTACAAACGCTTCTTCGCTACTGCGGCAAACATTATTATTGGTATGTGCGTTGACTGTTAGGACGAAGGTTATATCTCGAAGTTAACGCGCATACTATTGATGATGTCAGCCGCAGTAGCAGACGAAATTACGAATTTTAGTGATATGAATAAGGGCGATGACATATCCCCTTTTAAAGACGCCCTCTTCTGGTTCGACAGAACACTCTATCCTCGAATATCAAAGATTAACGAGGCTCCCCAAGGCGGTCAGTTCCAAAGCCAAGCTTCAACATCGACGAGATTCGTCCTCCGTCATTCATTGCAAGGCAACTAGTTGAAAACAGTGTGGAGAAAGTAGAACATTTCTTGGCGAACAATAGTGACTGCCATTTTTTATGTGTTACTGAGTATTGGAAATCAACTACCCAACTGGAATGTATTGGAATAGAAAAATTCAATCTAGCAGCTTCCTTTTGTCGTACAGAAAACAAACATGGGGGAAGTGCTATATATTGTAAAAATGGAACTGACTAGAAAAGCTACAAGAACTAGGTAGTCAAAACAGACTGTCATTAGCCTGTGTACCAAGCCACACAGGATACAAGGGAAACGAAGAGGCTGATTTACTAGCACGATGCTCCCCCATTGGCCCAGAACCCTTTTGTGGTACAGCAAAAGTGCTGCGAAAAACTTGTAACAGCAACTGGAAGGAAAAACAATCTCAAAAATGGTGGAATAAGACGCCGGATATGAGACAGGCCAAAAAGTTCATTAAAGAGCCACAACCTAAATTCACGGAGTACCTACTGAGTCTGAATAGGCTATCAACTAGAGTTCTGGTCGGGCTATACATCGGACTGGCAGACACAGCCCTATGCAGGCTTTGCCAAGAGGATGAGAAAACCTCCGTACACATACTATGCTATTGCGAAGGTCTGTCAAGGATAAGGTTTGCAACATTAGGGAAGGAAAAACCACAACCCTCTCAATATATGGGGAACTTGAGGTCTGACCCATGGAGTCTAGTTACAAGGACGGGCCTAGACAAGGAACTCTAGCATACATGAAGGCACACACAATAGACCTGCAAAGGTCGCAGTGTAGTGGCTGTTCAGCACAGAAGCCCCATATTAATCTATACTAATAGGTATACCGCAAGGAAGTGTAGCAGGCCCACTGTTGTTCGTTATATTTATGAATGATTTATGCAAATCTGAATTAGTAGATGATCAATTTATAACTATATATGCTGATGATACAAGCCTTCTGGCAGGGGAAGCAACATATCCAGAGATGATGGTAAACTGTTGTAACATTTTTCAGAAAACAAAAAACTGGTTGAAAACAAATAAGTTAGTATTGAACGAGTCGAAAACTAAAGTGATGCTATTTGCAAACTATCTAACAGCAGAGGAAAAACCAAATGATATATAATTTTTTCAATCATACTTTTCAGTTATCGCATAACACCAAGTTTTTGGGTGTTTACATTGATGAATGGCTGAACTGGTCACAACATATATAGAAGAAATCTCTTCGAAGCTTCAAAAAGTGTCCTATGAACTGAGAAAAGCACGCAGCTTTATCTCTTTACTTTGCAAATTTTGAATCTATCATCCAACAAGAATACAAATAGAATATTTCTTATACAAAAAAGAGTAATGAGAATAATAAATTACAAACATTATAAGGACTCTTGTCGAACAGTTTTTAAGAATAATAACATCATGACTGAATGTGTATTTTTGAATGTTTGATGTATTTGTTTAAAAACAGAGAACTTTTAAATCTAAATGCTACAGAACACGAATATAACACTAGGAGGCATGACCTCATTTATCCATATCATACATTGAGACTTAACTGAAAAGTCTCCCTATTATATGGCAATGAAATTTTACAACAAGTTACCAGTACTTGTTGTTAGACACTCTGCTAGTAGCAAACAATTTAAAAAAAAGCATCAAAAAGATTACTGTCAGATCTAGAACCTTATTGTGTTGAGGATTTTTAAAACATCAGTTTTGAAATATAACTGTGTGTGACGTCATTTTATTACCTTCGGAAAAAGGATGGAGGAATAAGACCGATTGCCGTCGGTACCTTTTATCGTCGATTGGTAGCTAAACTTGGTTGTATGAGGATTAAAGACGAAGTAGGATCGACGTTACGTCCACTACAGTTTGGTTTCAGTACTGCAGGTGGATGTGAAGCTATTGCTCATGCTGCTCATAGATATATTAATCTTCATCCAAATCCCGATTCAAAAATTTTCCTGAAAAAATAGACTTCAAAAATGCCTTCAACATAATTGATAGAAACATCATGCTCCGTAAGGTTAAAGATTTGTTTCCAGGATTAAATACCTTCAGTCAGTGTTATAAAACAGCTTCCTATTTGAGTTTTGGTGAACATCTGATTCTGTCTGAGAGAGGTGTTCAACAAGGTGATTCCTTAGGACCTGCTCTTTTTTGTCTGACCAGTTGAACAGAAACAGGGTTTCAGTTCACGATTCTTACTATTACTTTATTCATTTTATTTAATAGGTACTTGATTGAATTACTGCAGAATGGGTAACCCAATGCGCTATTATCTGAACTTGTGGAATGAAAATTAGCATCAAATATGATACTTATTTGTATTTTTCAAAATTTCACATAAGTAAAAAATTATTAGGTGCAAAATTGAACATATTGTAGATAAGTTCATCGCCTTCCTTTGCCCTTTCCTTTCCCCTTATTGCTGGTTGATGCTTGTTGTGGTGCTTCCCCTGCACCTTTATTTTGTCTAGATTTTAATTTAGGAATCATTTCACCAAGATGATACATTATGCTCTCTCTGGTTGGGAAAGCGCTATTGAACAAACTTCCGTCATCATTCCTCAATTGAACTCTAATTCTGCCTCGATAAAGAGGTTCCTTGCTTTTTTCTCTGCTATATAATTTATTTTCAACTCCTATTTTAAGATTTGCTGCCACTAATACATCTCTAATTTCTTGGTGTGTTGGGTTTTCAACGCATTTATCCTTATTTATCCTTCTTCCTTGAGCTAACGTTTTCTTATTATTGATATAAGCTGGGTAAATACATATCCACCTAAAATGAAAGACCTGAAGACATATGGTTTGGTTTATTTATTTCTTCTAGAAACCTTTCTCTATCACTATGTTTCTTATCGGGGCTCCACTGTAAAACAGGTACATGACCTAAATGTGCACCACTATGAGACTGCATTAAATATAAAAATATTATTATGCTCTCAAACTTGCTACTTGATACAATTTAATTTTACGAAAATAAAAAGTATCAGCCCTGTTGCCACGTAGAGAGATCACAAACTACTTACTCTATAGACGTTTCACGCAAATGATCAAGGTCACAGTCGTTTTTGTAGTTCGTTGTGCTCACCTGTAGGGGTCTCTGCCACACACTACTTAAAGTGGTTTGTGGTTTCTGCAGAGATTATAGGTTATGTCGATTGTTGACATTTTTCCTTTGAAAGGAATCTGATACGTATTATTTTTATTAGTGTTCTCCGATCAGTTAGTTTGTATCTCATATAAACATCTTTATCCAGTGTTATCACATTCTTACATTCAATATTTTTTCATTACTCTTAGCGAACTTCGTTTTCAACTATGTCGTGTAGGAAATGCTGCATTTCAAAGTGTTCAGCATCTGCACCGCTACACAAATTTCCAAATCCTGGAAAATATCTAGAACAATTCAGAATATGGGTGCACTCTATCAATGATAGGGATATCAATGAAATGAAGTAGTAAATTAGAATATTTATATGTAACACTTTCAAAGTAAACAATGGTTGAGCTAATAAACTATGAGATTGGAACCTTTGGTGAACAGTTGAAACTTTTCCTAGAGATCAATTATTATCCTAACACCAAATTGATATTTTTTGTACTCCACGCGTGTTTCGCTAAAAAGGTTAGCATCTTCATCTATCAAATTTATACTGTATCAATTTTATTCTCCTGAAGATGCTAACCTTGTAAGCGAAACGCGCGTCGAGTGCAGAAAATATCAGTTTGGTGTTAGGATAATAATTGATCTCTAGGAAAATTTTCAATGGTTGCGTTTAAGTTTATCGCTTATTTGTTTAGTTCCGATTCTAAGTTATAGAGGTAGCTGAAAATTGTTGCCAGCTGACAGCATTGTCGTCAACTACGCATGCTCATAATTTGACAAATTATTGCTTCGACCAATACTATTGCCGTGAAGCGTCTAAATAGTAAATGGTTTGTGAGAGAGATTCAGAATACAGAAGAGAACTTTCATCTGGCGCCACTTTGATGTTGGTTTTCTGTGTTGTGTAATATCCTTTTTAGCGGTAAGTTTAAACTATTCGAAACTTATCAGATATAATTATAATTCAATTGCAATCGGAAAATTATCACTGACATCTCTGACCAACAATTCAACAAAACGTCCTTTTGTCTTTTATTTCACTATGTTTACGTTTACTAACCGCGATATTATCAAAAAGTTCATGATTTCTCTCCCGTACTGAGATTTTTTAAGGTCAAAACACAAGAACTAAAGGAAAATCCTTAACGTGCCTGTGCGAAAGTAATGATTCACATTGGATTTGAATCGCTGGAGATTGAATCCATTTGGAAAAACGTAGTTTTCCAGATGAAAAAGTTCTTAAACAGTGAAGTTCGAGGTGTACTGAGTTGAACCTCAAAACGATGAGCAGCCACAGTCCGTCGCGTATTTCTGATATGTACCGCTCTTGGTGGAATCAAATGTGCCAAGTCACTTGAACACCTCTCGTGAAAGTATCTGTAGAAGAGAGACAAATCTCCAACCTTTCTTCGATGTTCCAGGCTATAAGGTTGCAAGTGATGTTTGCGTCTCCAATCAGGCGGATGGAATCCAGAGCTCTAAACATGAGAACAATACTCCAAAAATATTCCAAAGAAGGTCTGATCTGAGCTTCATAAAGCATCAAAGGTTGCTGAGGTTTGTATAGTTTTCTGGTTCGGAACAGTGTTCCAAGCTTTTGAGAAACAGCCTTTTCAATTCTAGCGACATGATTGTGTCAAGACATATTGGTGTCCATTTTAACCTTTAATAAACTTATCGAAGCAGAAAGCGGAATTGTCTGACCTTACATTATTATATCTGGTTGGGAGACATTTATCTTCTTGGAGAAAGTCGATGCCTAGGTTTTTATGGCATTGAATTGAACCAGGTTACTTTCACCCCAATTCGAAATCACTTCTAGATCCTCATTAAGATATATAACCTCCTGTTGCCGGTGAAGCGATGTGCCTCCGTAGCCGAAAATCCAAATGGAATGACGAGACAAGTGTGCTGTCGTCAGCAAAGCAATATATTGGATTCTTGGTTTTTTCCAATAAGTCGTTGATATATAATAAAAAGAAGGTTGGAGACAATATGGATCCCTGGGGAACACCAGCGTTGATGGTGAAAGTATTCGAAAGATATCCATCAACGGCCACTTGCAGGGAACGTTCTTTCAGGAAGTTGGAGAACCATACACAGAAATGATCCAAGCCATAGCATCGAAATTTAGCCAGCAAACCCTCAACACGGTCAAAGGCATTAGAAATATCAAGCCCAACAACTCCTGAGTCTTCATGTTTCTCGATATGGGTGGCATTAGAAGGTCGCCTGTTGATCTTTGTTTCCGAAATCCATATTGATGATCGCTTAAGATATTGAAGCCTTCCAAATATATGAGATTATGGTGGTTTACGACTTTCTCCATGATTTTTGATATCACTGGTAGCAAAGCCACTGGTCTATAGCTATTTGGAAGATTTTTGTTGTCCTTTTTGGGAATAGGCTGAACGCGAACAATCTTCCAACAAGAAGGAAAAACTCCTTTTTTGTAAGACAGGATGAAAAATCTGCAAAACAGTGAGGCGATTTCATTTACGCTCTGTGCAAGTACGATGATGGGCACTTCATCAGGGCCAGACGCCTTGTTAATATTGAGCCGTTTCAAAATTCGCCTAACGCAAATTGTTCAGCTAGTAGATTTTCTTTTTCTATGGCTGTTGTTGCAATTCAACCATCCGCTTGTATTAGTGGTGAAATTGTGGATTTTTTAAAGTTCTGATTAACAGATTCAGCTACCGACCAGAATGATCTAGATCCGTTGGGATTGGCAAGCAGTTTATTCCTAATTCTCTGATTCTGAAGTTTTTTGCTTTCATTTATCCAAATTTTGCAGCTGTTTCGAGCACTGGGATTTTTGCGTCACTGCCGGTAGACGAGATTTTTGGAGGCGACAGCTTGTTCGCAATTTTTGTTGAACCAAAGTTTACCGTTAGAAATGTCGCTTTTATATGGTATTCTGTGGTTGTAGTCTGTGGTGTGTGTGCAGTTAATGTCATAATATGGACTGGCTGTTAAAGAGAGAAATTGAATCCAAACTTCAACAACTGAATAGGATGAAGTGATCCCACGTTTTAACTTATACGTCCCCTACACACTTGAAAGCTCTAACATTACACTATTGTACTAGCCTTCAGAAAGAGAAAGTTTAGCACATCATTATTGAAAGAGGTGATTCAAGTAACTTTTTTCCATATATCTATTATATAGAAATTCCAAATTTCCAGTTATTTGATTGGTTGATTATCAATCTTCATTATAAAGAATGCATAAGTGGCCGATAAAGTTGATACAGTTTGAAGTTGAAACGATGTAGGGAGTAGTTTTAGAATCCATATAATAAAAATGGAAGCATAGCATGCTTCCTTTGTCCTATATACTTACCTTCTAGATACTGAAGTAAAGTTTTGGTTTAGATGTTCATTGCTGAAAACGTTGTTCCCACATACATTGTTTGAAAAAATAAAATATTATGCACATAATAGGGCGATGATTATAAAAAGCAAAACCGTAAGATTCTGAATACCAAAATTTATGGTTATGAGTTGTTTGATAAATTTTCATATGTTTATATGAAAGTAGTTCTTTGGATAGGGCTTTTTCTTCTAGTTTGTATTTGATAGTAATTTATATGCATGATTTAGACAACTTTGTGAGAAGTTATTCGTTTTGAAATTAATTGCTCTCTTCCTCCCATTGAAAGTTTCACACATTTTTGTATGAAGGGAGAATTAGGAAGCCAAAACCTTTTATTTCTCACATTTCATTCTTCATTCTATTTTTCTTTCCGTTATTTGCAGATTATTTCGACATTTCCACATTTTTATTCAAAAATGGCGTAGTTTAATTTTTTTTAACCCAATAATTATTGTTATTTTTTCATAGTTTTTCTATATTATTACTCCTCTAAATGACTAATCACATAATCGAATCTCCTAACTCCGTTTGAGACAATGAAATAATATGCGAAATGAGTACTTTGACAATCTGAATATTTTAATAAATTGCTTGTCATAACTCAGTTTTAGAGAATCGATCTTAATTTTAAACCATAAATTTGGAGGTGGATTTTTGATAAAATTATCTCCAGGATATTCGTCCTGGAGTGGACATTCATCTTATTTATTTTATAATCTACATCTCTATGTATTTGTCATCAGTGTCAGTTGTCAGTTTTCATTTTCCATTAGCAATTTCAAAATTTCTGACATGAAACGAATGACAAATGAACAACTCAGAAAAATATATGTACTACAATGTTTAATACAATCAACTCATAAAATCAAAGTGATCCATCCGACCATATGGTCGGTCGGTAGCCAAACGGTTCGGCGTGAGTGCTTTGTTCACTCACTCAAATTGACTGCCGTGTTGGTCGGTGGTTCAAGCCCTAGTCTGAACGATCGATCTTCACTTGCTACCGTCCAACCCGTGTTAGGAATCACACGTTAAAAGGTAAGACCTCGTTAATCCTTAGCTCGCACAAGTTTCGACTTCTGAGGGTTGTCGTTCGTAGGGGTGCGACAGCTGGTTAACGGAAAAACAGATTTTAAACAGATTTTTTTAAACAGATTTAAACAGATTTTTTTTAAACAGATTTAAACAGAACCAAATAAAAAAAAATGAGGGTCACTAATTTTTCATGTTATTTCAAAAATTACAATTCATACGGCACTCCCTTATCAGTTATCATATCACTTATAAGGAATATATTTTGTTTTGTGATCGTTTTTCGTCGGGATCAACTAAAAAACCGAGAAACCGAGGCATGTTCGGAAAGCGTGCCCCCGATCTAAAACCAATACTACAGTTTTCAATTTCACTCTTAGTCATTCAAGGTCGACTGTAGTGATCAGGGCGTCAACTTGAATGCGATTTCGATTTGAATTTTTGACATAAATCATATGACTGAAATTTCCATATGACATGACACACTATTAACATTGAATTAACATTAAATTAACGTTTAACTTATCCTTCGAATTAATTCTATAGATGAAGATGGGTGAGCAATCGATTACTCCCAACAAAAGTGGAATATCTAACAGTGACCAAAGTGAAAACACTGAACATGAAATGAACTCTGACAATGAAAATATTGAAGATATGTCACCTGAGGGTGAGACTCTCTGAGACACTGCTCATTATTTTCTACGTACTATTTGATTTTAGAATTCGCCAATTTGGATAGTCAGTTAGACGAATTGAATTCTGCTCTTGATGATATTGAGCAAAAAAATGATGACATACATGCCAAGCTCCTACAGTTATTGCATGCCAATAGGGAAGTTCGAAAACAATTGAAACTGGATCAGGAAGACAGAGCTGTTATGGAAACAGATTCAGACGTGGCTAAGCATTAAGTATAGAACATATGCATTCCATTGTGTTTATAACTGAATTATCATTTTACAGAAGTTTTCTTGTTTTGTCAATAATGTGTACATAATTATATTACCCTACATAGTGAAATAAGGACTAATAAAAGTTCTGAATTAACAAATAAATACTTGTTTTCAGTTATTATAAACACAATATTTCATACAAATTCAAATCCTAAGAATTTAGGTTCCATTCAGTTTTAATAAAATAGGTAGCATGAATATAATACTGTAGTAGCCAGTAGTCTCTATTGAGATGCATTATATTGAGCGCATTAAATTAATGCGCTTTGTAAATCTGAATTTTGCATAACTTATTGCTTATGATGATAATATTAGATGTTCTCGTTTTTGTGGGAAGTACTATTGGGAGATTTGAACGTTGATTTTCTGAGAAAAAAATCCATATACCAGATGAGTCACGAGTAACAGGACATCTATATACGAGATATATTTCTGAAGATGTTCTATTCATAACCAGACAATGCAGGTCACTCGAGGGCATGATTTAAATTTTTTTTTTTATACAAGGTATTCCTGAAAAATTTATATCAAAGTTATATATAATTTATATCAAAGTCACAACTCATTCATTTTTTTGAATTCTAAGAGGATTTGCATTGAGGTTATTCATTGCTGAATGCAACCAATTTCGAGATATTGCAATTTTTCTGAAAAATCAACTTGTCTGAAAAAAAGTTTTTTCTCAATATATTCTAGTCAATTCGAACGATTTCTTTAGAGGGTGTTCAAAAATAATGATTATGTTCAACTTTAAACCTTATTATCTTTGATTTTTCAAATAAAATATCCTATACATTTTGACTCCCAAGATGAAGGTCCCCTAATTTCTTTTTGAATGATGTACATTGCTATAACTAAACAAAAGTTTTCAAGTGAATAATGATTTTAGTTCAGTTTTGTTTTTGATACTTCAACAAAGTTAAGCCATTTTGTTGTGAATGGTGATCTCAGCAATACAACTTCAACTTTTGAAATTGAGATTTTAATATTCAGTACAAAAACATGTTGTGAAAAATTGTGGCAGTTTAAAATCTGTTTAACAACATTCATAACAACAACATTCTCTTTTTTCATCACCATGTTGATCAATCAAAATTGAAAATGTCTACTTAAAAAACATCAGCTTACAGAGTGTGTTCTGCTTTGATCATATCAATAGGATAAATACAACACAGCCATTGCTTATTGGGTATTCTCAAGTCGGCGGTCGTTTTTCTGTTAATTGAGTCTAATTTTGTGTGATTTTGTTACGGCTCATTGCACTGAAAACATCCGTTTAAGATAATTTTTAATTTTGGAGCGAATTGAAAGTTTTAAAATAAATATGATTTTATTTAATTAATGTTAGATAGATAGATAGATGTTTATTTAAAAATAGGTAACCCTAATATAAATATATATCCCAATTAAATCAACGGTGTATATATACAACAACAAAAAAAGAAATACAATGCAACAATAATATACGAAAATCACAATTTTAAAAATAGAATTAGTAGAATTACAAAAATTACAAGAATTGCTTTCAGTACGATATCTATTTCATCTTAATAAGTTCTTTCAATTGTTTTTTAAACAAATTCAACGATGATGATGTTTTAATGAAGTCTGGTAGTTTATTAAATTCTTGGAAACCTTTGAAAAATAAAGAGTTCATAGTACTGCGATAAGCAGTGCTGCTAATGTGAATGTCATTTTTACCCCGAGTGTTATAAGTGTGAATGTCTCTATTCAATATTATANTTATTGTTGTGTAACTCTTCACAATTCTCTTCTTCATATCCTGTGGAGGAGTATTAGGGTAGTGGCTTATACCATATACTTTTCTCATAACCCTATAAAATATCCATACTGGTTAAAGGTGATATCGCTGACCAGTTATAAATGCTACCTCTTCCAAATCCATTTATTGTGAAATTTTCTATCCAAATATATCTTCACAGATCGTTGGAAGTGAGCAGAAGCACTATCCAGTTGTAACCATATTCTATGTGTTTAAAATGTTTAAAAATGTTTAAAAATTTCCCAAAATTCATATTTCATGAACCTTAGAAAGTTTGTTCCATTCGGAGTATCTTCGAAAAAAATGAGGTCCATTTCCACTGAAAACACTAATGATGATCAATGTTTTCTGTGTCATAATAATGAAAATTGTAGCTATTCACGAGGCCATTATTATAATATTATACCATTTATAATACATAGTCAAAAATTCATTCATTTTCTCCTACATGTTCACTTGTCCATAAACAAAAATCAATTCGATGCTATGACAATACAAATTCTGATGGAGCTGTATGTGATAGGGACGATTTTTATGTTTTCACAAGATTCTGCTGATGCTGGACTGACTTGGGACAGTGTAACTTGAAATTTGTCTGGAGCTTACGTTTGGATTCTCTACTACAGACCCCTCAAATTTGGTTTATTCATTGGTGAATCATCAAGATGAATAAACCTCTAAGAAACCAGCTACACATGCTGGCGAAACGTTAGGATACAGTTCCAAACTAAGACGGCCTTCAAACCCGAATGAAGATCTTAAGTGAAGTTATCCACATCCATAGAGTACACTAAGAAAAAAATATCGAATTATTATTTTTTCATTTACCGACTGTGTTCACCTACTATTTTTCAATATGATATGCTTATTGCCTGATTTAGTGAAAAAAAGGAGCGTTCTAGTTCATCAAATTGTCTGAAGGGGTGAAAATAGGGTGGAAATATTTTTAAAAAATGGTAACATGAAAAATCGACTTTGTACACCCGCAATATTGAGACATGTTATTGCTGATGATCTAATCGACAGAAAAAACTTCACGTCATAGTTTTTCAGGCCGTCTGAGGGGGTGAACATGGGGTGAAATTATCAAAAAATTTCTTAACATGAAAAATCGACTTTGTTGAAATATATTATTCCTGATGATTTATTCGATCAGAAAAACTTCACGTCATAGTTTTCCAGGCCGTGTAGTATGTCTCAATTTTGTAGGTGTACAAAAACGATTTTTCATATTTTGATATTTTCATCTCCTGTTCACCCCCTCAGACGGCCTGGAAAACTATGACGTGAAGTTTTTTTTGTCGAATAGATCATCGGGAATAATATATCGCAATTTTATTAGTGTACAAAGTCGATTTTTCATGTTAAGATTTTTTTTTTATATTTTCAGCTCATGTTCACCCTTTCAGACGGCCTGGAAAACTATGACGTGAAGTTTTTTTTTGTCGAATAGAGCATCAGGAATAACATATCTACTGCACCGCTACACAAATTTCCAAATCCTGGAAAATATCTAGAACAATTCAGAATATGGGTGCACTCTATCAATGATAGGGATATCAATGAAATGGACCCAGTAATGGTGTATCGCTTTGAAAGAGTTTGTCATAAACATTTCAAGGCTAAAAAATATCATTCATCGATGTCGAGTAGACTTCAACCAATGACTGTGCCTACATTATAAAATCTTTGAAAAAATAATATACAATAGACTGATCACTTATCTAGAGAATAATAATGTTCCAAGTTATATGCAGAATTGATTTAGAAGAAAGAAATCTACTACTTGAGCTAACTATCAAGCTCTATGTAAGGTAATTGAATATCAATAGTAAAAAGGCTGGACTTGTCCAAGACCATAGATTATTGATCACACAACTGTCGTTATACGGTATCAGAGGGCTGCCACTCGAACTAATAACGTCCTATTTGAAAAATAGACAGCAATGTGTTACTGAAAGGGATACTGATCTAATGAAATCAGAAATGCTATATATCATAAGAGGTGTACCCCAGGGGTCAGTGTTGGGCCCACTACTATACATTTTTTACACTAACAATGTGCCTGAAGTTGTTGATAAATACATGGTTCAGTATGCCGATGACTGTTCTGTGGTTTTTGGTTCAACCGATCACAACTACCTACAGGCAAATATCTTTTTCAAGCTAAAGATTCTGGAGGAGTACTTTACATCACACAACCTCAAACTGAACAAAAACAAGACACAAATCATATATCTTTTACCCAAAACGGCACAAATAATACTTTTAGTTATGGTGTAACTATTTTAGAACCAGTGACCCAACTTTCCTTTCTTGGAATTATAATTGACTCAAAGCTGAACTGGAAGAGCCACATAGATAAAGTGGCAACAGAAATGTCAAGGCACTGCTATGCCCTGAGAATAATTACACAAAATATATCCACTGAGACTGCGATGTTAGCATATAATAGTTATATTCAGAGTCACATCAGATATGGCAATATGTTCTGGGGAATGTCTGTACATACACAAAAAATATTCGTATTGCAAAAATGATGTCTCAGAAAAATATTCAACCTTTCTCGGAGAGAAAGCTGTAAAAAATAATTCGTAGATAAAAAAATATTAACACTAACAGGTCTTTATATTTATGACTCTGTGGTATTTATCAAAGAAAATATATCTCTTTTTGCGACTTACGATAGGAACCATACGCACAACACACGAAACAAAAATAACCTTTTGAATATAAAGACACATTTGACCTATCTTCAAAAAAATATACCTTTTTCAATAATTAATATTTATAACAAGGTACCTGAATCTCTCAGAACTTTGTCTTCTATGATCATGAAGAATAAATTGAAAACTTTGCTTCTCTCCAAAGCTGGAAGAATTCTTCAGTGATAATTTAAACTGATGTTGTTCGCGTTGAATATTTCATGTCGTATCATTCTGCATTGTGATGTAGTTTAGTCTCTTTTGAACCCTACATATAG